TATGAATCCTTACCTCCAAGTTCAAATCTTTTCTTTTCTTTTTTTTTGGCTTCATAAACGCGTGCAACACCTAACTCGCGATTTAAGATTTGAGTTGAATTCTTCTCGTGGTTTTAGGTTTTGATGGCAGTCCGGCAGTCCCCCCAACACCAAGCTCAATGAACTTCTGAAATATTTCATTTGGGTTTAACGGGGCAAGAAATTTTGCTAGTTCAAATTCTCTGATTTTCGAGTAGAAAAGGCGTGTTTCTGAATAAGACGGCTAGACGCTAAAACCGCACTTTGAAAGTAGGTTAACGAGTGCATACATAAAGTAAGTAATCATCATGTTCTACTCCTCACGAAAGGAAAAGGTAGCCCTTTTCTCCATGTCCTGCCATGTGTAACTCCACCCTTTCGTGGTGATGGCTCCATGTCAGTTGTCATCACATTCATAGAATGATGATTTTTTGTACGATTTCATTTGAATCTTGGTGCTTGAACTGTTGAACATGGTCCATGCACAGCTAGTGCCTCTTGAAACTTTCCACTTGTTTTTAGCTCCACCATGTTGTTCATGCATCTCTACAACAGAAGGTCCTCATCGGGGTTTTTTTCTCTGTTCAGAGCCAACAGTGTGAGATGAACAGCTCATTATTTGAGTAAAGAATTGAGGAATCTGAACTGTAAGATCTAAAATTGAGACGAAACTTTGAGGTGAGTTAGAGTTGTAGATTTAGTCGGAAGTTTGGAATTGGATGTAGAATTTGAGTTTCTTTGCTTGTAAACAAAAATAGAGTTTGAGGTTTTGTTTGGCAGGTGTTCCTTTCACTCCAGCTTTATGCTACAGTACCATAGCCGGAGGAGCTACACCGTGGCTTCTCTGGGCTCCTAGTTCATTTTTATTAGGAGTGAGAGAAATGGCTCTTGTGAATAGTATAGCTACAGTTGATGTTGCAGGAGGAGTTGGCTCTGCCAAAGAGCCGAGTATTTCAGTTTAGAATCTAGGATCCATCATTGAATGTTTGAAAGTTTGAGTATAATCTCATAACTACGTTCAAAGTTAAAAAAAACTCGACTTGAAAAGTTTTGCTAGTTCAAAAGGCTTGTTTCTTCATAGGATTAAGGGATGCTTAACACCAAGGTATTGTTTGGTTTGGATATTTTTGCCTGTCATCCATTAACGACGTGAACTGACAGCATAATCTCGTATTTGGTTAGGGCAGCCCGTATCCATTAACAGCGACATCCGATACGCCCTATAGAACTTCGATACCGCTCTAGAACCAACATCTGTTCCCTACGCGATGTGTCGCGATTCTCTCGCGGCCTCCCTCTCCTCATCCGCACCTCTCTCGCCCACGAGCCATCGCGATTCCTTCATGGCTCCGGTGTCTACAGTCCGTGTGGATGATTGCCCTATTCGTTTGGCTAATAAGCCATAAGTGAAAGTACTGTTGACTGATTTGTTGTGAAAGAAAAATATTATTCGTTGGCTGAAAAAGTACGACTTATAAGTCAAGCGAACAGGACGGATGTTGTTGCTCCTTTACTCTTCGACTACCTGATTACATGAGCTAACCAAACAAATTTCGTTGTCCCTTAAACTGCAACGAACAGGTCGCAGCGCTATCTGATTACATACAACATAATTGATGCATATCCCACAAGTAGTTTTAATAGATCTATTCACTCTATACCCGTACCTAACGTGAACCATCAAGTATACTCTCTTTCGTCCGAGAAAAGACACGATTCTCTAACATAGTACTAAGGCCATGTTGAGTTCCCCCATATTTCTAAATTTAGCACTATGCAAAAAGAAGATTTTCCGTCACATCAAATTTACAGTACATGCATGGAGTACTAAATGTAGACGAAATAAAAAAACTAATTGCACAGTTTGATTGTACTTTGCGAGACAAACGTTTTGAGCATAATTAATCAATGTTTGGACAATTATTACCAAATACAAACGAAATTGCTACAGTGTTCACCGTCACGTCGAACACTGTGTAAACACCGATTCGGCAGCGAACTAAACGCGGCCTAAGCTAAATTATCTTAAGTTTGAGAAAACTAGAATTGCATTATTTATCGTTATCTATCTCTAGTCTTCTTCCCTTCGGTGATGTTATGGTGGTCAACTGGTCACACAACGCCCCCATAGAATCATATCAAATCAAATCAAATCTTTAGTTTACCATCCAAATTACTATTCCACTGTTAAAAGTTACTGTTTATCTATTTCCCAATCAAATCAAATCTTTAGTTTTTCATCCAGCTTTACTGTTCCCCTGTTTAAAGTTGGTATCTAGCAGGATTTTTTTTTTATTTTTAACATTTTTTTAAACTAATTTTAAATCTAACACTTTTTAAATTTTTTTTCCAAAACTAACACTTTTGGCCGCGCCTATTTTCCTGGCGCGGCGAAACGCCTGTGCCGCGCCATGCATGGTGGCGCGGCGAGAGGGATGACGTTGCGACGACCGGGACGCTGACCGGTGACATGGCAGGGTCTGCCACGCCACCGATTTGGGCGCGACACTGACGCGCCATGGAGAATGACGCGGCGAGGCAAAGCTAGGCATGGCCGGAGCATAGGCCTGCCCGCGCGGCCTCGGCATGGCATCTAGGCCTACGCATTGAAGCGGTGACGCTGACGGAGCATGCGATGCCTTCCAACTGCGTGCCCGATGGACGATGGAGAGAATTAATTAAAGAAGCCTTCGGCCATAATGGATGCTTTTTGCTTGCAAGACTCCATTCTTCCTAATGCACGTACCCATCATGTGGTTGACAGCCTTGTCCACTGTGCTTGCCTGTTTCTTGTTTTATCAATTCTGCATAAGTGTGATTATCACTAGGTTCTTAGAAAGCAGGGAGTTCAATCAGTGTTGAAAAAGCACGTCGAACACTACACCTGGTCTGGCACGCGCTGAACAGAGAAGTGGCAAACACTCTTTTTCTTTCTACCAACGCATAATTCGTTGCCAGAGAGTAATGCTCCATTCTTCCTAACACTACTAGAAAACAGACCGGTTATATCCTCAAACAAGGATACAAAGTTCCTGCCCTAAGTATGTGACGACAGCAGGCAACAATTAGTCCCAGTTATAGCTCAGAGCCTTTAGTCCCAGCTAGACCCTTCAACCGGGAATAAATCTTTACTTCCAGCTTGAGGCTCCAGCCGGGACTAAAGGATGACCTTTAGTCCTGGCTCTGGGCTATAACCGGGATAAAATCTTTCTTGATAAAATAATATAGTCGTGCTGGACAAAAAAATGGGGCAGCCAGGCATTGAACCAACGACCTCATAGCCAAGGTCCAAACCGCAGCGCACTAGCTAGCCATCTGAACTAAGTCACTTTCTCGACAAGAAAGCATCCAAATATTTATTTAATAATAGAAAAGACCATTTAATTGATTATATTCTTTTGTTAACTATACTTTGAATTTTCTGGTCCATGTGCTTTCTAGTGCCTGATTGATCTCATAATTTTTATCAGGGTTTCAAATGCCCAGTGTGAAGCCACCACCAAGTTCGAGATTTTTCTGAATTGGTTTGGTAATTTTTTCACTTTAATTGAATTTCCACGTGACTTCACCAATTAATTATACGTTGAACTGAATTCACCCCCGAAAAAATTCGGAATGGTGTCAAACTTTGCCAAATGGTCTCTTGTGCCATAGGAGACAAATATTTGTGGAGGTTGATGCAAAATTATATTGTTTTCAATATGTAATTCACCGTATTTCGTCTCACGCGGCACAAAGAAAAATGTAATAATAAAAATAATTATCAGAAAAATCTAAGATCTTGTGTGAGGTCATATTTTGGGTGTAAATGACTGCCAAAAAAATTTCAAGCCATTTCGACATAGGCGGAGTCGACGTGCTTCACAGAGGTATATAGAACCTTTCGTCGAACCCTATCTATACACCTAGGTTCTCTGGGACTCTGAAGTCCATTTGCTTTCCAGTGCCGGATTGGTCTCAAACTTTTTCTCAAGACTACAAATGCCCTGTGTGTAGCCACCACCAAGTTTGAGATTTTCTGAGGTGGTTTGATATTTTTTAACTTTAATTGAATTTCCGCCCGAACTCACCGATTAATTATACAATGATTAATGAAGAACCTAAAGATTTATGTTACAATTACGTGAAAACTAATTTCCTATCGAAAACCAATAAATTTAATAATTTCAATTAAAGTCTACATTTTTGCATTAACGAAAATAGTGAGTATTAGTTGCATTATGTTCAACATTTATAATAAAAAACACAATAGTTTAGGTCACATATTTTTTTGTGCAGTAAATGAAAATAAAGTTTATTACTTTTTCTAAAAAAATTATGCTTAGTATTGAATTTACTGCACAAATAATAAGACTTAAACATTTAAATACAAAACATATATAAAATAAACTGATCTGCTTAAAAGTTGGCGGGAAATGAAAATGTAGCCCACCTTTAGTCCCGGCTCCTGTCACCAGCTGGGACTAAAGGTGGGCTGCATTTGGCGACCCGCCAATAAATCTTTTAGTCCCGGCTGCGTAAAGATGCTTTAGTCCCGGGTGGTGCATGGAGTCGGGACTAAAGGTCCCTCTCCTATATACCGCCGCCTCCCTTCTCTCTTCCTCCTCATCGATCGTCTTCGTCTTCAGTGCGTCCCCAGAGCTCCGCCGCCGCCGATTCACCTCCCAGGCCACCCCCGACGCCGCCTGCTTCCTCACCGGAGGGCACCCCGAGGCTCGCCCACCTCGCCGGAGTAGCCCCGACGCCGCGCCCCTCACCGAGGAGCCCCCGGCTGCCCCCGACGCCGCGCGCGCGCCACGCCGCCTCCGATTTCGCCTTCCCGGCCACCCCCGACGCCGCCTTCCTCACAGGAGGGCACCCCGACGCCCGCCACCTCGCCGGAGTAGCCCCAACGCCGCGCCCCTCAAGGAGGAGCCCCTGGCTGCCCCCGACGCCGCGCGCGTGCCACGCCACGCCGCCGCCACGCCACCGCGCCTTCTTCCTCACCGGAGGGCATCCCGACGCCTTCTCATGTTGTCGATGGCCATCAGCGTGCCGCCCACCCCGAACACCGTCGCCATGAACAGCAGCAGCATGTCCACGCTCACCAGTGCCTGCAGGATCGTGTAGTCCTCGCCGCGCGGCGGCGGACGCAGCGAAAGCAGCAACCTTTGGCCCGCCGTCGTCGCTGGTGGTGGTACTGGTGCTGCAGGTGGCTGTTTCGTGGCCACGGGCAGAGCCGGAGTGGGTGCAGCTCGCGCTTGGGATTCAGGAGTGTTGGTGATGTTGGCCTTGAACAGCACGGCCTCCTCGCGCAGGACGATTCCGAGCGGAAGCAGCAGCATCAGGAACACGACGGCGGCGCTGGCGGCGTACTCTGCCCGTGTGAAGCGGAACCGCTTCTGGAGGGCGATAGCGACCAGGAGGTAGGCAGCGAGCGCGAGCGACACGTAGAGGAAGGCGCAGAATGCGCGGTACTCCCGGCGTGCAGTAACGGGAGACCGCGGCGGCGCGCGTATGATCCGGATGGTGGCGAGGAAGGCGACGGAGACGGCAGCGGGGAGCCATCCGACGAGGAGGATGAGCGGCCTAGTGTCACCGCCGCGGCCGGGGCCGTAGAAGGCGAGGTATTTCCAATATCGGCCGAAATCTCCGGATATTTCCGATATATCCTCTTGATCCGTAGGTGCCGATAAGAAAATATCTATCTTTTTCGTATAAATTTTGTTTAAATTTATTTAAATTTACTTAAATTCAAATTAAATTTTATTTGAACTTTGTCCGATATTTTCGATATATCCTGTTTATCCTCTTTATCTATGACCTTCGATAAATTTTAATTTCCGAAAATAAAAACCTTGGGTAGAGCTGGGTGAAGATGGCGCCGCTGAGGCCGACGAAGCCCTTGAGGAGTCCAAGCATGACGCCGCGGCTCTCGGGGAAGTTCGTGACGCAGGTAAAGAGCGCGCCGGTGTTGGCGAACGCCTGGGAGTTGGCGCCGACGGCGATGTAGAGGCAGACGAGCCAGAGCGGCGGGGTCCGGTGGACACGGCCCGTGACGGAGAGGTAGAGCATGAGGTATCCGCCGAGGTTCATGGCGGCGCCGAGGGCGAGGACGAGCCAGGGCGGGGCGAGCTCGGCGACGAGGCCCGCGTGGATGCCGACGTTGGCGCCCACGTCCTTGAAGAATCCCACGGTGTTGAGCTGCTCCTGCGTGTACCCGAGCGTCGACTTGATGTCCTTGGAGTAGATGGCGAAGATGTAGGTGGCGCCCGCGGCCGACATGATGAGGAAGGACCCGTACGCCATGAACCACCGCCCCCGCACCACCTGCGCCGCGAACGCCGCCGCCGGCGCCATGATGGGAGTGGAGTGGCCCCGCTCTCGCTCTGTCTCGTTTTGCTTTGGGGGCCGGGCCGGGCTGCTGCTAGCTGCCAGCTGCCTGCCGATATGGGCCGTGGGCGTTAGTGGTGGTAACGCGTATTTGTTGGCGAGATCGCACCTGCACGAAAATAAAGGTTGCTACTAATAACTGGGTATTTGGAGTTTATTAGGACTGGTAATTGGGTAGGGATGAAAACGATTAGAAATGATCGATAGGAGGTCAAATCACTTTTATTTTCATATTTTTTCTCGAAAATGAGATCGATACGATATTGTCGGAAACGAATACGGCGCCGATATTCTGGTAATTTCGAAAACGATAGTAGTCGATCGAAAAATACATCGATAACGATCGGAATCCATGAGAACGATATCGTCAGAAACGATAAACACGTCAAACCGTAGAACATGAGAAGATCCATATAAGTGGACCTATCTCACATGACAATAATAAATAAAGCCACAATTGACAAGATCACAGACTGAAACCATTTTGCATGATCTTAAGTCTCAAACAGTGGCAAACCACACAACATTACGACAATTCTTGACAAAGATACAAATAAACGATCAGTATTTACCTTATGTGCTTGCGTGTGCAGAAGGATGGACATGCTTGGATGTGGGCCAGCTAGACCTAAAGTATGTATTGTATCAGTAATTACTGACGATAAATTACCGGTTAAATACGGCAATCTTCGAAAACGATTGGAAGAGGGCAAGACTTATTTTCACTTTCGTTTTCGATTATTTTTACCGTTATCATTTTTATTTTTCCTATTACCGCTACTGTTTCTGTTTAGGCCTAAAAATCTGAAAAAAAAACTCGAAAAGGATTTCTGAAAATCGGAAATTTTCATTTTCGTTTTTATCCCTATAACTGGGTACTACATGGTTTGACTGATGACAGCAACAGCAGTCAACATACAGTACTCCTAGTAGGAGTACGTACATGGTCATCCTGATCCATTGGAGATGCAGAGTGCGAACTGAACTGTCCCATCACCATCAGGCATCGGCATCAGCATCAGGAGGATAGCCATCATCCTCTCCGGAGCCCTGATTTGGAACGCATGAACGACGATCCTCTTCGATATGTGTGTTGTCCGCTCTTGTTTCGGTGTACTACGCTGTGCCCTTTATTTCCATTGACCGACTCGTCTCCATGTTTGCTGTCAATTTGGGCTCCATTTGTTGTCTCACTGCTAGCGCTAGCCGCTGCGGGTGCAGTTGACAGATAACTGAAGCCTCAAGTTACGACGTACTTACTCCAGCTTAAAACCAAGAATCAACCGTGAAATTAACTCTATGGTAGTTGACAGACAACCATGTGATCCCGGATGTGATGCGATGTGGAGTGAGCTGAGCTCTGGTGGGGTGGTCCTGAAACTGAAAGTTGGTCTTGGAAGATGGATGGCGCCGTGCATGCTCCCGGATGGGGTCGAAGCCCATGCGCGGTGCCACGTCGGCCTGCTACTCAGCCCACTCACTACTGTGCTCAGCTGGGCTAGCTTCAAGGCTTGCCCGGCCGGACACAAGCATGCACATTGCACACAAGCTAGCCAATGAATGAATCAGGATTCAGGAATTCAGGATTGCTACTCCTGCTTGCTAGAGCACCATATCTGCTCATGGTTTGACTGATGAAACCAAACAGGCAACAGCAAAATATGATGGTCTTGTCTTGTTACACTAGAGACAAGACAATGAATGAAGTGGCCTGCTGGTGATCCAAAACTCAATTGACTCAGCCCCTCTCTCATGAGCTGAGGATAATCATCATCTCTATGTATATACGTATACTCCATATAACAGTAGGTTCGGTTTGTCTGCAGTTTGATCAATGAGCGAATTCATTATTCATTATTCGTCATCGAAGCAAATGGAAGCCACTGTCAAGCAGCAAGGCATATATATATCCAAATCACCCACCTGACAAGATGCTGGGCCGAATAGTTTGTACGGGCCGGGGGGCCAAGGAAGATGGGATTAACGATGAAAACGGAATGGAAATGTCCGAATCGAACCGTATCGTTTTTTATATTTAATCCGATCGAATCCGTATTTTTTTTGTCTGACTTTACCGTTTTCGCTTTCGCATTTGAGATGTTTCGTATTTCAAATGTAAAAGTAGAAAACAGTTTACACATTTTTCGACCGTTTTCTACTTTTCTACTTTTAATTTGAAATATTCTGAATTCAAAATTCGGTTACTGCACAGGTCATACAGCCTAATTACAGGCTGCTCACCACGCAGTTGCGTTCTTTCTACTGGTGGCTAGCTCTCTTATAGACGGCATCCAGCCTCATCTCTCTTATTACGTATTTGGTCGTGCACTTGTTTAATACTATGCACTTGAACTAGATCATACACTTGTTAGTTGTGAACTTGTTATGTATTTGGTCGTGCACTTGTTTAATGCTATGCACTGTAGGTCGGTATTTCGTATTGAATTTTCGCATACCGACCGTGTTCGACATAATTCCGCTCGAATTGGTTCGTTTTCGAAATTCTAGATATTCCGTAAGTTCGTGTTCGTTTTCGTGTCCGGCTTGTCCGCTTTCGCTTTCGCTTTCGTATTTCAAATGTAAAAGTAGAAAACGGTTGAGGAGTTTTTCGACCGAGTTCGACCGTTTTCATCCTTAGATGGGATCCGTCGCCAGGGGAGAGAGAGAGAGAGCATCGAGAGTGCAGGCAAAAGGTTGTCAAAATTGTCGGATAGGAGGCCTTTCAAGTATGGTGTGCCTAGCGCGTGGACGTCCAGACGGCTCGTGCCTGCACCGTGTTGAGCGCCGCGCCCACTAGGACTCTCGCATTTCGTTTCCCACGCTACACCTCGATTTGCGCACCGACGCGGCCCCGTGCTCGCTCGGATGACTCGCCCTGCTAGGGCTGCACGCCCGCACGCGAGGACCATATGTGCCCGCTCGGTGGTGCCTAGGAGGCGGCTGCAGCAGGTGGATTCTATTATAATATGAGCAACATCATCAGCCTGTTCGTTTGGTCGTAAACGATCATAGATTATAAATCAAAATAGTATTTTCTCTCTCACACCAAACCAGCCAACAATAATAATCCACGATCATATACGATCATATCAGCACCCACCGAACATGCTGCATATCTACACGTGGCAGACCGATGCCTAATGCTGACGAAAAGGCAACTGCTACGCTGAAGCCACTGATTACATGTTCTGAAGTTTCATCCTATAACCCGCAAACTTCACAGACTGGGGATTGAACAGTGTGCTTCCAAAAAAGATTTGTTTGACACTGGATTTAATTAAACAGCCTGTAGTCAAGCTTCACCTGTCCCAAAGAGAAAGAGGACTGCCTCTTATCCATCGATTCATTGAGGACCACAAGTACAACTACTTCTTGGATAGCTTCGAGCTCCTCCTAGGCTTGAGTAGATAGACTTGGCACGGATGTCCTATTTATTTGAAGTTATAAAACCAATATTAATACTACTTTTTGTATAACTAATTTTTTGAGAAGTTTAATGTGCGTTTCTTTTGGAGTGAGAGAGTATTAATCTGTCACAAATTTTGTACAGAGAAAGACGAGGGAAGCTTATATCGTAGAGACCGTCGGAAGTTTCCGCGTAATGAAACGGAAGCTGCCTCATCGCCGCCACGTCGAATAGAAAGCGCACGCGTGCCGTCCGCGGCAGCTTTCCCCCCTACGCCGAGCGGGAGCGGCGGAGGGCCCACGCGCACTCAGCGCGGACGGACGACCTGCCGTTGACCTGGCCGGCTGCCTACTAGTCTACTACTGCGGTGTGCCGTGAGCAGTCTGCGGAGTCGTTCGCATCGCATCCGGCATTCCGGCGCCCGGTGTCCCTCCATGGCTTTGGCTGGAGTCGGGGAGGCGCTCGCGTCCGTAGTGCTCAAGGTGGTGTTGCGCAAGCTGGGATCCGCTGTCGGGCAGCAGATCAAGGCGCGATGGAATCTGGAGCGAGATATGGAGGAAATCAAGAGCACGATGGGGATGGTGCAAGCCGTACTGAGGGATGCCGAGAGGCGATCCGTCAGGGAGGAAGCGGTCAACCTTTGGCTTAAGATGCTCAAGGACGCCGCCTACGAAATCTCCGACATGTTCGATGAATTTGAAGTCAAATTGACAAAGGTAAGTCTTCTTGCTTGTGCTATAAATGAAAAAAAGCCCATTTCCCCCCACATAATAGTATCCTGTTTAGTGTCTTGATGAACTGCTGCAGCAATAATCCTGATAGATCCCAGTCATAATAAGTAGTACTTGGAATCTAGTATCAATCTATATATACGCACACACATCACTAAACATCTTTATCTAAAGTTATAAGGCACAGATTTGGTAATTTGGATCCCATACTAGTCCACCATCGCCCTTCGCCGGCAAGATCTAGGATCGCTTTCACTGGATCCTTAATCAACTGCGGCAAGTGGGCAGAGAGGACGCATATTGGAAGAACCTCCACCCGTTCACTGTCCTGTACCAAGAGTCCCTTTGATGGGTTCAATGGCGGTGAAGATTTATTTTATACCCATTGCTCTACGGAAGAAGAGAATATTAACTGTCATGATACCTCAACAAAGGAGGCCCAACGATAGCAATACCAATTTGAATGCTAGTATTGCGTACCAATGAACTAACTTGGGGCGCGCTTGATAGTCCTACCACAAAGGAGGCCCAACACAGATGCTAGGAATAGGATGTTGTTTGTTTGTCTACATTCTTTTAAACCCCTACATGCGTCCTATATTTTTTATTCATCTGCTGACAAGCTGTTGCATCAGTTATTTAGGTAATTTGTCTGTTTTCCCCCCTTTTAAAACTGGGTTTGAATGATTTCATATTGAACAGGGGAAGATCTCTAGCTCTGTTGCCAAGCTTACTATGGGTAAAAAGCTGAAGAATATGAGAAAAAAGTTAACAAGGATAGCAGCACTGCGGACACAGTTTGCATTCAACCTAGATGCCTGTTCAACAGACCACGAAGAAATCAAGAAGAGACAAACAACATCAAAGATCAATAGAGCAACTATCGTTGGAAGGCAGAAAGAGAAGGATGACATTGTAACATTACTAAAATCAGATGAGGAACAAGAAACACTAGTAATCCCTATCTTTGGGTTCGGGGGTATTGGTAAGACCACACTAGCTAAATTGGTTTTCAATGATGACCGGATGCAAGATTTCGATCTGCGAGTATGGGTTTATGTGTCTCCTCATTTTGATTTGGAAATGATTGGCAAAAGTATAATATCACAATTCAAACAACCTGTTGAGGGTTTGGATGGTCAGTCTGTAAGTAATTGTCTAGAGGAGACATTGGGTGGCAGAAGTTGCTTGATTGTTTTGGATGATGTATGGGAGAGCAACTTCTTTCAGTTGGATAATTTAAGGCTGATGTTAAGTAACTTCAAGGAGAAAAGCAAGATTAGGATCATTGTAACAACACAAACTGAAGAAGTTGCAAGGAACATAGGCACTGTTACACCATACAAGCTGAAGCCATTGTCTGATGATCATTGCTGGACATTGTTCAAACATATGGCTTTTCAATCTGGTTTCTCCTGCAGAGAAGATAAAAATGCATTGGACAAAATTGGGTGGGATATTGCAAAGAAGTGCCAAGGAGTGCCAATGGCAGTTCAAGCTGTTGGGTTTATGCTGCGCAACAAAAGTGTCGAGGAGTGGAGAAATGTGAGGGATAGTGATATTTGGGATGGCTCCTCAACCACCGATATGCTACCATCGCTGAAGCTTAGTTACTACCAGATGACTGATTACTTGAAGCTTTGCTTTTCCTATTGCTCAGTGTTTCCTAAAGGCTGTGAAATACATAGGGGTGATCTAATTCAGCAGTGGATATCTCTTGGATTCATTCCATCCAGCCCTGGAGAACACTTGACACTTGAGAAGATTGGGGAAAACTATGTGAACGAGCTACTAGGAATGTCCTTTCTCCAATACTCAAGGCCAACATCCTTGGTGAGTGATTAATAGTAGTATATACCTCACTACTCTTGGCATCCAAATCCTAACCATCCTTGGTGTGATTTCCTATTTTAAGTTATTTTTTAAAACATGCATACTACTTCCTCTAATTAATCATAAATATAAGTTTATTTGTACATCGACCCAGTCTCCAATGACTTTTTGGCTAGCAGTATCCATAAAAATAAATAATCTTAAATGGAGATAGTTATATACTACGAAAATATTTTTCATGATGAGTTTATGAGCCTCAACCTTGTGTTATCAATCAATGTGAAACTTTACAAATTGGTGAAAATTCAGAAAAAAAGGAAAAACTAAAATAGACTTACATTTGCCGTCACAAGCAGTGCCAAGTAAAACTGTCCCGAGCATGGAGAGCAAAAATCAAACCTAAGCAAAAGTTCAGGTGGATATTTGCTAAAAAAAGGGCTTATAGGAGAGATAATCGAACCTGGGTCTCTTGACCTTGGAAATTTAACTGGTATATGGACTAAAAATGCAGGGTGGCATTTTTTGGATTAGTTTAATTAATATAATCTATTTATTGCAGGTAACCAAGGAGGACACAAATAACTCTATGCTGCTTAGCATGCACGATTTAATTCATGATCTTGCTAGATCTGTTCTTGGAGATGAACTGCTTTTCGTGGATGGTAAAAAGGGATACACTTCTAGAAATGGCAATCACCGGTATGCATTAGTAGTCAATGGTACGAGACAAATAGATTTATGTGATTATGTTCCTACCAAATTAAGATCTCTGCATATTTTTGACTCTGCGGAAATTCATCCGTCCTTATATAGTAAACCCTTGCGTGTCTTGGATTTAAGCATGTTTTCCAGTGGAAGCTTTCCAGCATCTATTGGTAAATTGAAGCAATTGAGGTACCTTGGTGCTCGTGGGCTGCAACATGAATCAGTTCCTGAGGATGTCACTAGCCTTTCAAAGCTAATGTATTTGAACATAAGTGGTTCCTCCAAAATTTCAATGCTGCCCGACTCAGTTAAGGCACTTAGAAGCTTACTGCATCTAGACCTATCTGGGTCTTGTAACCTTTCTTCACTACCAGAATCATTCGGAGACCTGATAAACCTATCACATTTAAACCTTGCGAATTGTTCTTTACTCAAAGCTTTGCCCAAGTCAGTAAACAAACTCAGAAGCTTGCTACATCTAGACCTATCTGGGTGTTGTAACTTATGTTCATTACCAGAATCATTCGGTGACCTGGAAAACCTCTCACATTTAAACCTTGCAAATTGTTCTCTATTCAAAGCTTTGCCCAAGTCAGTAAACAAACTCAGAAGCTTGGTACATCTAGACCTATCTGGGTGTTGTAACCTCTGTTCATTACCAGAATCATTCGGCGACCTGACAAACCTCACAGATTTGAACCTGGGGAATTGTATTCATCTCAATACTTTGCCAGATTCAGTAAACAAACTCAGAAACTTGTTTCGGCTGGACCTGTCAGGGTGCTGTAACCTGTGTTCACTGCCAGAATCATCAGGTGACCTGATGAACCTCTCACATTTATACCTGGTGAATTGCTCACTACTCAAAACTTTGCCTGAGTCAGTGGACAAACTCAAAAACTTGCTACATTTAGACCTAAGTGGTTGTAGTAGCCTCTGTTCGTTACCAGAGTCTTTTGGTGAGCTGATAAATCTATCACATTTGAATCTGGCAAAATGTACTGATCTTTGTTCTTTGCCCAAGTCTTTTGGAAGGCTATGTGAACTTCAGTATTTGAACCTGTCAGATTGCTTAAGACTTGGTCTATGGTTTGATATTGACACTCTCTGTTGTCTTACTAAGCTACAGTATCTAAACCTGTCCCGTTGTCCAAGTCTCGGGCATATACCTGAATCTATCAACAATCTAAAGAATCTCCATACTTTAGATCTCTCGAGATGTCCCTGGATCGAGAGATTTCCAGAAAGTCTATGCGGAATGGCCAGCCTCAAGTTTCTGCTAATACATGAGTGCAGACCATGGTTGCAACAGCGTGTCAGGGAGTCTCAGCTCAAGAATGATGTGCTAATGTTGCCCAAGTTTATTGTTCAAAGAACAGATTCAGGCACTTCCAGCAATATTTCACGCCTGCAATCTGTATATCCTGCAGAGCTTGAAATCGTATGCCTTGAAAATGTGACAAGTATCGAAGAAGTGGATGCAGTAAATTTGGTAGGTAAGTCAATACTTTCCAAATTGGCATTGGCATGGACACCAGCAGCTGAACGCTTTCTGGAGGATGAGGCTTTGCTCCAAGGACTCCAGCCTCCTGAAAATCTCATGTTTATAAAAGTACAAGGCTACATGGCAACTTCCTTTTCTGGATGGGTGATGAGCATGGAATCATGTCTACTGCATCTTGTTTGCATTGAGATGATAGATTTACCGAGATGTGAACAATTACCGGTGTTTGGCCAATTACCAAATCTAGAGCGGTTGATTCTAAAGAGGATGCCAATCTTCAGGAAACTGGGAACTGAAATTTGTGGGGGAAGTGGAGCATTTAAGAAACTAAAAGAGTTCACACTAGTAGATCTTGACACCTTAGAAGAGTGGATTACCAAGGTTCCACTGAATGGTGAGTTCATGTTCCCCAGTCTTCACAAGTTAGATATCTGTGGCTGCCCTAAGTTAAGGTTGACACCATGCCTGCCTAGAGCAATTGAATGGAGAATCCAAGCGAGTGATGAAATTATAGCAAGTCAATATGATGCAGGATCACCAACCTCTTTGACACTATCAAAACTGCATGTTACAAGCTGCCAGCTGCAACCCAACCAGTGGGCACTGCTCGGATTTCTCCCTGCTCTTGAGGTATTGGAAATTTCAAACTATGGACTGGGAAAATTGCCAGACGGCATCAGTTTCCTGGTATCACTGCGATCACTGAAAATAGAAGTGTCCACTGATGATCCAGAAGAACAATTCAATTGGTTACTATTTCTTTCTGCAATTTCTGGTGACCGGGAGGTTGTGATATTCCCGTTACCTCAACTTACTGCATTGGAGAATTTGGAAATAAGTTTTAATAATGAATTGCAAACATGGTGCAAGACACATGATAGGTGGACTTTGCAGAACGCCAAAAACGAGGTAACTTTTAGAGCAGTTTTTAGTATGCCCTCTTGCATTACCGTCCAGTCGCCACCACCGCACATTGCTTTAAAGTTCACGTTAATGTGGAATGTGTCAAGTATAATTGAATCGTCCACCCTTCATCATTTTAAGCTTTTCGGTTGAACTAGTCAGTTTGTCGTGAAATCTTAAAGTGTTAAGAATGGCAAAACACATATATAGAACATGCAGCTACATGCAATCATGCCCACTAGCTTTGCACACTAGAAATACTGGGTTAGCACATAAAAGGTTAGTCCCTGTGTACCAAAAAACACATTTTGGACATGAGCACATTCTCTGAAACACAACTTTGATACTTTTTGTTACAAATGTATTTACAAACATAGCAACATTATATTTTTTATGAAACTGCATTACGAGATAAATCTACCTTTTAAGATATTTAAACTCAACTCATAGCAATTTCGGAATTTCCAAACCATCGACATAGAAATTGACAAAATTGGCATGGGCATTGTCAAACACGAATAAATTTTACATAGGCACTGTACAACCAGATGAATAAAATTTACATAGCCATTGTCAAACCATCGACACCAAATTGACATAGTATTCACAACAAATTGATATAGCATCTTATTCATTTCAAACTCATTTTTCAATAAATTTCACAACAAATTGGCATAGCATCAAATTCATTTGAAATCAAACTGACAATCACTTTCACAACAAATTTACATAGCAATTTTATTTTTATTTACCTTGTATTGGAGGAGTGAGATTGGGTAAGGCGTTATTGGGCCGAGGGTCAGCGCTCGAGATGGCCAAGCCTTGAGCTCGTGGTAGGGGCGGTCAGGGTCCAGTCGGCTACAATCTGTGCTTGAGCTCATGGTAGGGGCGGCCATCGAAAGGTGCCCGTGGCCGAGCTAGGGGTGGCCGGTGGCCAGACATTGAACTTGGGGCGGCAAACCTCCATGTCGGAGCCTAAGGCAAGCGTTGTCGACAGTCGATGCTCGGGAAGACTAGAGGAGGGCCCGCCGGAGCTCAAGCTCGAGGAAGTCCGGAGGTGAAGAGCGGCCGATTGGAGGAGGCTGCCGGGCCTAGGGTTTCAGCTTGGAGTCGAAATCCAATTGGCCAATTTGGTGAATGGGGTTGAGGAAACCTCAGGAAAGCGAATCCGATTAGGGCCTGTTCGGTTAGTGTAGAATGAGGCCAGGAATTATTCCCGCTGATCAATGTTATACAAATTAGACAATCGTTCCGGCTGGGAATAGTTCCAGGTGTCCATTCCGAGATAACCGAACAGGCCCTTAGTGGGGAGGGCAGATACAGTGGCCGGTGGGGTGGTGCATGGTGTGGCGGTGGTGGGGAGGAGAGGGAAACTATCACAACAAACTTTTGAGGGCCTTGAGGAGGGTCTCGGGAACAAGGGCTTTAGAGGTATTTGAGGTAGTTCTACTTTTGTGGGACTGAATAAAAGGTCCAGTTGATGTTCGAATTTTGTTCCATATAGCCTCAAAATTAGGATAAGGACTCAAGTAGTGGCCTTGCTAGAGTTGCTCTTGTAAAATACCTTGAGCACTTGATCTCTAGAACACATGGCTAACAGCTCTCACCCGAAGATCCGAGGGCCTCAAATACGGGAATACCGGAGGTATTTTGCTGGATAAATATGGTAACAATGCACGGTCGGGAAAACGTCTCACCCGTTTGTGATCCCATATTCGCCTAGTTTTCCTGGATTCTTGTTTCCGTTTTTCATGGAAATATATATATATATATACCCTGTAGCTGGCTACAAAATAACTTATTCTGTAGTCACTTTGAGTTACGATAATTACTATATTAATTTACGAGATTATAGTAACTCCTTGCTAAGTGGTTTACTATAACGTCATGGTAAATATCCCCATGTGTTATAGTAACCCAACTATCGGAAATATGTATTGATATTATCGTAAATTAGTATATAAAATTATCGTAAATGGAGGTGGCTACAGAATAACTTATTTTGTAGCTGGCTACTGAATGTACTCTCCCTATATATATATATATATATATATATATATAGACACACACAATCGGTGAATATGGCAAACGGTGCTGGTGGGGACAGATTTTTTTTTTCCATCCCGTTTTTCATCCTTATCTATGAAAGCCTTAATGTAGGGATGCAAAGTTTTGCTTCAGCTTGGTCATTAAATCGACTTGAAGCTTTTTTTTTTTTTGTTGAAAGGCGATTTAAAGCTCATTTATTATCTGGATTTCAAAGCAAGAGAGGTGGGATAAGAATGACTAAATAGCTAATTGAGGCAACCTTCAATTGGTTTAACCCCCTGGCATCCTATATATCTCTATTAGATGTTTTTGTTTGCCATGTGTTATTATTTGTAGGTTTATTTATAAGTAAGAAACATATATATTGATTTTTTTACTCCTATTGCTTATTTTTTGAGCAGTCGTCAACTTTCTTTGAACGACACTTGGCCATGATCCAACAGAAGGAAGAAGAGCGACCCCTCAGCAGGTACATCCTTCGGGTCAAGCAGCAAGCTGAAGCCCTCAGTGCCGTCGGGCAGACTCTTCGTGATAACTTAGTCATCAGGTGCATGCTCCCGCACGAGGATGGCTACAAGTGCATCACCAACAATAAGGATAGGCGTGCCCTCATGCACGTCCTCAAAATGTACGGCTACGTCGTCGATGGGTCAGTCACCCCAATTAATGGTGTCACGCTGAATGATCTCTATGTTCGTGTTGTGATGCATGAGGGGCGTCAGCACGGCACTGGTGATCAGACAGTCTCGGCACCCACGACTCCGCGACACGAATGGCTCGCAGCGTTGGGTTGCAGCAGCCCACGCGGCTCGGCCCACTACCGCTGCAATTCAGCGCCGCCGTCCCTCTTCTACTCCCCGGGCGACAAGGATGACCACCGCCTCCACCGCTCGTGCAGCGCTAGCTCCTTCTGAGGGGCTGATGGCTTCTGAGCTGCTGATGCTGATTTTTTGCTGATTTGTTGTGAGAGAAAAATATTGTTCTATGATTGAAAAATAGTGTTGATTCTGGTTGATAAGCTCAAGTGAACAAGGCCGAGTTTTAACTCAGCTCAGTGCAATGTAGCGAGCTATGGTTGCAACGGAATTTTTCAAAAGGACTTTCAGATACTGGGATTGATTGCCATGGCTGAGGAGGTGGACCATGACGTTTCGATTGGTGGAGGTGGTGGCTGTATTATTATTTTTATTTCTTGATTTCTAGCTAGAAAACATTGAGGTTACCTTCCTAATTTTATTTTCATTATTTTCCATCGGTACAACATCTTGACGTATCTTATTTGCAATGCATTGATTCGCAGTTAGCAATTTTATTTTTCTTTCCGTAACGTGATAGTTTCGAAATTAATCAACTAACCGACACGCCAGCAATGCATCAGCCGTTCATCAGCACATCCAACGTTTGTTTCTTCAGGCGGGTATGTGAGAGTTTGGTTGTTTCTTCATCCGATTTTTTTTAAAATTTTAAATGTGAGAAGTTCAAATGTAATTTTTCATGGATAGATATTTTTAAATAAATAAGTTGTCAACTACAAAGTTCTATAACTTTTCAAGATCTACAACTTTTGTTTTAGTCGTGCCTCCATTTGAGATGGTTTGAAAAATTCAAATTTCAATATCTAATTTTACTGTTCAGCGTCTATTTTCAGATGCACCTCTAGAAATCGTTGTGTAAGGGCTGCTGGATCTAGAGTCACCCTACAAATAGGGTCATTTGTACATGCGGCTGAAAATACCAACCACTCCTACAAATGCATTTCTACGGTCGGCTCGTTTTAAAAACTATTTTTAGGGCCCTAAAAAAAGAGACGTCTCTGTAAATCGTTTTTGTAGTAGTGTTCTTGTCGGTGCGAAAAGTGACCAACAAGTAAATATTTATTGTTTTGTCGTACGTTATGATCGGATGTGGCCTAGCACTCAATGACACAGGGTTTATACTGGTTCAGGCAACGTGCCCTACGTCCAGTTTAAGTCGGTCGATGAATTTATTCCTGAGCCCAGGTGCTCAAAGTTTACTGTGGGGTTACAAACGAGAGGGAGTAAGATTTGGGGTATCAGAGGTCCGGTCGGACTCTGGACCGAAGGACCGAGAGTGACGGGAGCTCCTACGTGCGCTAAGTATTAGAATGATCCGTATGTTGTCTGTTGTTTGTCGAGATCCATCGTCCTCCTTTTGGAGAGAGCGCATCCCGACAGATGCCTGGGTCATTCCGGAGACCGACTCAGGTGGCACGCTAGCCTCCCCTCGATGGAGATTCTGTGGGCATGGCTCGATGCTAGGATCGAACGAGAAGGTTGAGATGACCCTGTGTGCTTCTGAGCATACCGGGCGAGGGCCGCTGGGACTCATCTGCGTTTTGTCCCCTGGCTCTGTTTGACGCGAGGCGGCCTCGAGCCCTTCGTGGGCCGGCTTTCGAACCCCGGTCGGTCGTTGCTCATGTTGAATGAGGCAACTACCACTTCGTGACGCAACACGAAGCGTTGTGATGTATTAGCTGCATATGCGATGCTTTGGATGTATGGGATGAATGAATCATTATATGAATGAATGTGTGAATGCGTGTATGAGAATGGTTGAATGAATGATCATGCATCAGAAAAATGAAATAAGAGGGATTGGTAGAGTTACCTTGATGACTCGAGTGACAGGCTTGAGGAGTTTTTATCGGATATGTCCGAATGGGATCCGTGTTCGTTGTTCATGACGGAGTCGGCATGGCCCACATGGGGTGTCCTTCTGCTCCTTACCTATCTCTCGGTATTCGCCTGAGCCATCCGATCGACTCAGGAAGCCCGTTGATCTCTCCTTCGACAGAGATCCCGTTGTTGGGCCCTTCCAAGTCCTGCCTAAGAAGACGGAGGGCCGCCTGAGTGCGGTTGCGCCTTGTTTCCTGTGCCCAACATGCGGTAGTGGTGGGCCATACCCAGGCCACGTCCTGTCTAACCAGGCGCCGTTTCATCGGGCAGGGCACGTCCCATCAGTCAGGACGCGTCCCACCGTATCCCATCTGCATTGAATGGGGGAAGGGAGAGGGGTTTTCACCCCAATCCTTTGCCTTTCTCCAACCGCCGCGTCTCCTCCATAAATAGGGGAAGGAAGAGGGTTTTCATCCCAATCCTTCGCCTATTCTACAACTGCTGCTCTTCCTCCTTTTTCGCCAAGCACGTTCGTGTGCCGCGGTGGTTCCTAAGTGAGAGAGGGTAAAGCGAGGGAGAGGAGAACTCACAGATCCATTCATGAGTTCGAAGCGCGATGTCGAGCTGGAGGCCATCCAATGTGGACGAGTCAGTGCTAGCCGCCTTCGCCGAGAAGGGGCTGCTCCCATCGAAGGAGGTGGCACACTAGCGGGCTCCTACGGGGGAGGCGTTTCCACGGCCTTAGGCCGACGAGGTTGTTTCCTTCCTCGCCTTCCACGAGCACGGGCTAGGATACCCCACGCACTAGTTCCTGCGCGGGCTCCTCAATGAGTGGGGCCTAGAGCTGCAACACCTCAATCCGATTATTGTGCTGCATGTCGCCGGCTTTGTCACCGTCCGCGAGGCCTTCCTCGAGATGGAGCCGCACGTTGATCTCTTCCGATGGATCTTCACCGGGCGTGCCTTGTCGAATGGGAAGCCGCCCAGGAACACACCAGTGGGGGGTTCCGCCCTGCAGAAGAAGTCAAGGCCGTCGGGCTCCTACCCCGTGTACTCCCCCTGCGACTCCAATCGGGGGTGGCATGGGGAGTGGTTCTACATTAGAAATCCAACGGCGGCGCCGTTCCCACTGTTCACTGGAAGGAGGCCAGAGAGGTGGGATAGCTGGTCGTGGGGGGCCGCCAGTCGGCAAAATAAACTAGAGGTCATCGAGGCAGAGCTTCAGAAGCTGGTGCAGCAAGGCCTTGACGGGGTGCGGGTGTTTCACACCTTCTTCCGCCGTTGAGTCACCCCGTTGGTGCAGAGGAGGCGACCGATGTGGAACTACCTAAGCCCGACAGATCCCGACCGTGCATCGCCGAAGGAGTTGGCGAAGGACGAGGTCTGGAGTCAGCTCGACCGGGTGCTGCAGCTGAGGGCTAAGGAGTCCCTCGACGAAAAGCCCGGACCCCTTCACGCCATGAAGCCGTCAACTCTGGTACGTTCTCCTCTCCTCACTCCGTGTCCCTTTCGATCTTGCTCTCCTTTAATTTGACTTCAAGTCATCCGTTTCGCAGGGACTTGCCTGTTATAAATCCCGGCCGCATCTTCCAAAGGGGCCGGAGGGCGCGGCTCGACAAGCCACCCTGAAGGAGGTGACGGATGGCAGGAAGAAGAAGAGAGATGAGAAGGCTTGGAGGAGGCACCACAAGGAGCAGGAGATCGCCCAGCGCATGCGGGCCGGGGAAAATAGGAGCGACGTGGAGGCGGAGCTCGAGTCGGAGGAGCCCACGGAGTTGGGTGGCGACGTGAGCTCCTCTGAGGATGGAGACTTGGACGTCGTCGTGACCTCGTCAGAGCGTCGCGAGTCTACGACCATGTCTGCCAGCGGCGGGTGGGATCCGGGGAGGCGTGGCGACATTCCCCCATCAAGGAAGCGCGCCACGAGCTCGGACACCGCCGTTGAGTGAGAGGCGAAGCGGACGCGGTCACCGTGGCCTTTGGAGGTATTGTGGGCATCGCCCCCTGCTCTAGGCATGGCGGGGCAGGTCGGCCGGTAGGAGGAGCGGGCTTGCACCCCCGCATCTTCGGAGCCAGCGTCGATGTGCGACCCACAACGGGGGGATGCCCTGCCAGCTACTCCAGTGGGTGCGTCATGAGCCGGCGGTCGCGGCGACTCGCGGGCCGATCGGGAATCGACCGGGTCGACTCCCCCCTCAGTCGATGTGAGGGGGCGCGGGTCGTGACCCATGAGCGGTCCTCGTCCGACGGGCCCTTTACTAGTGGGTTGGGGCTTCCGGGCCTTGCCCCTTACGTCTAGGTATGTACCTAGGTTTCTTTTGATATCACAATTCGAGTTTTTTGAGCACGACTGACCTGTACTTGTTTGACAGTGGCCAAATATTGTTGGGGTTGAGCATCGCCCCGCCTCCCATGCGGGAGGAGTGGAGGCCCAGCCTACAGCGGGTCATGACGAACAGCGGGGAAAGCAGGCTGGCGGCGGTGCGACCTTCCCCTCTAGGGGTTGCGCCCTCTCGATCGGTCACGGGCTCGGTGGCAGCGGCAGCGGTGGTGATGGTGGCAATCCCTGTGGCGACGGCGAAGGCCGGGTCAGAGGTGACCCTCGTGATCCCTCCCGCACCGGCTGCAGCGAAAGCGAGGAGGGAGACCGGGCTGCCTACCTCGCCCAGCAGAGGGACGCATGGCTCACCCTCGTGGTCGGAGCTGGAGGTGTTAAGGGGCGACGCGGCGAGGCCGGAGGTAGAACTTCCACCGATGGACCATGGGGTCAAGGCAATGGAGATCCCCTCCCCCGGTGAGGCGGGTGCCAGAGTGGAGCCACCGGTGATCCTTCCGTCGCAGGAGCTGGCGGTGGTCCGGTCGTCAGCTGAGCCTTCCAGCGGGTTGGGGGCGGCCCACGACCTAGTGTGGCCCTGCCCTGGCGACCCGAGGAAGGTTCAGTTCATCCTTTTGGATGAGGAGGAGGTGCAACTCTAGGACGTACTTGGGGGGAGAGAACTCACGATGGAGTCCGATCTCGCCCAAACCAAGGCTAGGCTCGAGGTGGCCTTGGAGCGGGTCAACCTCGTCCATCAGGCGATTATGGTCGACCTGCCCTACATCGTAGAGGTAAGTTTTCTGCGTTTGTCCTTGACTCCTTGGTCTTTCACTGGTTGTCTCAGCATGCTTGCTTCTTGCTTGGCAAGGTTTGGAGGAGATGTCGAGCCGCAAGTCCTATTTCCTCCAGGAGGAGCACGCTCGGATGGAGCGGGAGGCCACGGCGTTGCGGCGGGTCAGCG